ATTTATATTAGTGAAAGAGTCTTCTACCACATGACTTTTGTGACGTATTGATCAGTACACAGATTTTCAAACTGGCTCTTACCGCGGCTGTGCACAATATAGCTGCTAATGGCAGATATTTATTAATGTTATATTCAAACAAGAAGAAAGTAGACCGCGATGAGAACAATTAGCTTAACTTCGTCTTCTTAACTCGAGATAATGAAGCATATATTTTCAACAGAATTAATTTCAACAATTTCCATAAAACGAAGAGAATAACGGCCAAGATCGAAACAGGAAGGCGATGACGTCTAATGAATGATACTGGAAGAAATTGAGTTTTGTACCGGCTGGAACAAGATTTTCCAGGGTTTTGAATTCGGCTAAGAAATTCGGACCACGCCACCAGAAGATGATCTGCGCTCACAGGCTGTTTCTTCACCATTTGCGACAATCTCTTGACGTTTTGGGAATAACTGGAAGAGCATTAATTTGAGATTGTAAAATTGCTTTTGGAGATCTGGTATTATTGCTGCAGGTTTCTTGAAGTATCGATCAAATAGGAAAAAAATGGAGAAAAAAATGAAAAAAGCCTTTGTAGCCTCGTACCCTCTATTTATATGATAACCGCTCGGAAGAGTGCTTGTAGGGTTCACTATTGTGGTTTCCAAGTAAAAAAAATCGCCGTGACGACCTTGATTGGCTGCAACTCCGGGACCAACACCGAAACACCCCGTTAGGGCCAGCCGGCCGTTCTGTCGAGATCAAAATGTTCACAATCACCAATCCTTGCCCCCTTGGACAGCTTCACTCCATACGGCAGTCTCAAGTCGCCGACAGTATCGCTAGTATCGTGCCACCACTTAATGTACTCAAAATCCACTCAAAATGCCCCCGGTCTGGCCAATGCGTCAAGTGCGGAGGTTGGCGGGAGGTCCGTACTTAACAGGCTATTTCCCTCATATCTTCAAAGATTTAGTCATCCATCATATTTGTTCATACGCAGGGACCTCTCCTGTGAAACCCTGATCTCTAGCCATGAAAACACAATGGACCCCATCCCCCTCCCCTCGTCAGGACAAACGATGAGCGCATGGTGACACGCACCACGCCCACACTTCACAACGAAGCGCTTTCAAGTTACAATACAGACCTCTTGTCACTCAGAAGCCTGTTCAGTGCTTCAGCGATGGCGTCCACAGTGACATTGCCTTTTCTTATGTTGATGGCGAAGTGGTGCCTTTCCGCCAATTTCACGTTTCGTGGCTGATCTCCAAATAGAGCAACGGTTATCATTGGAACGCCGGAGGTGACTGCCTCCTAGAAATAATCCACTTTTACTTTGCTCCTGTTCAGCATATTGTCACAAAATTACCTGTAGACTGTTGTAACCTCCATGGGATATGAAAGCTACTGTCTTGGGATGTCTCAAAAGATCTGCTTGTGGCAGCCATTTGAACAAGTAGACATTCGGTGGAAGTTGATCTGCACAAGAGTCAATCAGTTGAGTGGAATTTTTTGGAGACTTTTGAAGCGTTTTTGAAACGTTATTTTATAGTTATCTTTGATAGTACCTTCCCCTCACACAGTGATATGAGGTTGAGCCAGTTTTGCTGAAGGGAAACACTTTGAGCCTTTTTTGTACACTAAAACACCCAAGCAGCAAAGACCCTTGAAACTTAGCCCAGCTCGCCTTAATTTTTCACTGGAGACATTTCAGCTCCCACAACGTATCTTGCAAAAAATTTCCTACCTCGTTTTCTTCTATTTCAAATCACTTCTTCGTGAAAACTTCTTTAATGATCTCTGCATATGTGGTTAATTGCGGCTTTGCCACAGCATTATAAAATCATAACTTCATTTAAGCTGTACCCCTTACTAACCCCTTGGGAAAACCTGTGCACAGCCTGTCCTCTCCTTTGTGAATTTCTCCTCTTTTATGAACTTATGAACTCCCCGAGCTTCAGCTCGTCTCTCAGTGTTCGGACTCAAGTTGAATAATATACCATTTAGAGGTAAACACCCCCTACGAGGTATGGGCAGAAAGGTTGGAGCGCATCGTAAGTGGAGGATAAACGCCGGTAGGGTGTTTCCATTGAGCTGCTAAAGTCTGTCCGCTGGCCCTCCACGCTCACTTCCAGTGTACCTTTCACGTCGAAATAATCAAAAAAATCAGCCAGTAAAAAATAAAAAAATAAAGCGTAGTAATGGCCCTGAACTCCACCTTTCAAATCGTTCCCTTCATACCTGAGTACAAAGTTCAATTTAGGAAAACGCGAAAATGCTCCCAGAAAGGCTTTCTTCCATTCAAGCGGCATTCGATGACTTGGAGTTACTGAGCCGAACGAGAACACCACGAGTCCTTCACAACTGTCCACTATTTGTTGGAATTCCTGAAATCGCTCCAGAATACAGTGCTTTCCTTAGCTTTAAAAAAAAGAAGGCAGAAGACGCGGACCCGCGTTTCATTTGCCCTTTTGTTATAATTTGATTAATGTTCACTTTTATTCACAGTAAACTATACCACAGACTCGCCCGCCCTATTCTATGAAGCCTCCCTCATTCCAGGAAATTTCACTTTTTAATTCCAAAGTGCGTAAGGGGAGTCATCACCAGTGCAGCTCTCTATATGGCCTGCTCCTCGGATAAGTGACCGTGCTGCAGTTGTGAGACATGTTAGTAAGCTTCACTTATTTTCTAAAGATTTTCTAAGCTATTAATGTGAAGTCGCTCAGAAATTGTGTGTTGGTCCAGCACGTGAGCGAATTGCATTTGAACACCATCGCGATTTCGACTGAAAGTGGTATGCATGGCTCATCCCAAAGAGGAAATGTTGATGCCAAATCTTTAACAATGTCCAGTAAATAAAGGAGAACAGCAGCTATATGCACATCATTCTGAAAGACAGGCCGACCTTGGTCAGGGGTTTGGCATCCTTTATTTGGATGCCAACACCTCCAATATTCACAACTTTCGCGAGTGTTGGTCGAGTCAACTCGAACAGTTCGTTGGAGTTCACCATCACCTGAAATGACGTTTTGCAGAAAGCGATGCTTTTGCTACCCATAACCGAAAATAACTACCAGTGGGCATGTTTTTGCAACGTCCACAAGGTCTGGAAAATTCGGATCAATAAGTTCGCGGAAGATCTCCGTCTCTCGATCAGCGAACATTCTAAATATTGAAAAATAAAGCATCCAATCACCCAATAGAATTATAAATATTCATTATTCGGCCGGTCATCAAATCTAAG